GTTTCTATAAATCTACTCCAATATTTCAACAAATTTCTTGGTATGTACTATTTTATTTGTAGATTTAATTTGCCCAAAGAATTTTAGGATTAATGTTATCTGTTAGTGCTTTCATAAGTTCCCTTTTCAGGCATTTGTAAAATACTAAATAAGACCGTATTTCCCTGAAAATAAGACCTAACTGGAAAATAACCAGCCTTGAAAATTAGAGATCAAAAATGCTGGCTCTGACCACTTTGTCCTACCTGTCATTACAGAGTGGCCAGCAAGCAAGAGAAGAGTGAGTGGTAATCTTTTGCCTGACACTGGCATCACCATGGTAACAACCTGCATCTGTTTTCCAGTTAGGTCTTATTTTGAGAGAAACACAGGATCAATAATCCTGGATCTCATCCTGCAACACTGGAAAACCCCGTTGTGTTAGATTTTCACCATTACAACAAATACCTGAGATAATTGACTTATAATAGAAAAAGTTTATTTTTGTTCACAGTTTGAAAGGTTTCGGTGTATGGTCTTTTAACCATGTTTTTGAGCCGGTGCTGGAGTAAATCATGAAGTAAACCATGGATCGAGCTAGTTACCTCATGGTGGCCAGAAAGTAGAGAGAGAGGGCAAGAAGTGGAGACCAGTGTTCTCAAATCCCTTTTGAGGGCATCCTTCAACCACCCCGCCCCCCACTTTTGAGGGCACCTCAATATCCTAAGACCCCTCACTAAACCCCGCCTCTTATTCAGGTTTCTATCACCTTCTGATTGTGCTAAGCTAAGGAACAAGCCTTTATTTAATACGTGGATCTTTGGGGGAAATTCTAAGCCACCAGTGCTTCTCCACCTGGTCAGATGGTGTTTGAATCTCAGCTCTGCCTCAGCGTCACCTTAGGCACACTTGTTTTTAGAATACAGAAAAGAATATCTACATCACAGAGTTATATTGAATATTGGAGATAATGAGTATAAATCTCTATCAGATGGAGGTTTCTGTTATTCACATAGCTTTTGTTTAGGAGCTTTGTTATGTTTTATCAATGGTTTCCCCAACTCCTCATGTTTATTAAGGTATCTCTATTTATCCTGAGTGTAATCCCAGCACTCTGGGAGGCTGAAGCAGGACAATCATAATTTAAAAACATCCTGGACAACTTTGTGACCTAACAAGACCCTGTCTTAAAAAGTGAAAAAACAAACAAAAAACAGGCTCAGGATATAGCTCAATGTGAAGGCTCAGGATTTGATCCCAAATTCCCTCCTCCATCTTTCTGTATGATCATCTTGCTAGCCCAGTAACAACTTCTTTTTTTATTATTTTTTTTGGAATAAAGGATATTTTGTTAGTGTTAGTATTATGAATTTGTTCAGACTAGAAATAAGATGAACCATTGTATCATCATGCCTTTCAGAACGTGTCTGTTGACTCTTCTATTAGAAGGCTGCTATCTACTAACAGACTGGCTATTTTTAATAACAAGCTTATTTCTTAAAAGTCTTGGTTAGATGCCACCTGGTCTTCATAATTCAGTTACATCTGATTTGCCGATTAGATGTAAAATATTCAGTACATTAGTATAATTTGAGCTAATAGCTCTGATCAGTCTTCTTAAAAAGACAGATTGGCAATACATTTCAGAAGGCTTTTTAATGCAATTTTCAGTTTTGATGGCTGTTTTGGATTTAGGTTTTTGTTCACAATGCGAGCTTTTTATTCATGAATCTGTGAGTTCTTTGCTTCTATCTGACACCATGTGTTTGAGGTTGCATTTTATGAATGCGAATCCTTGCACATGATTACTAGATGATTTAGATTTTATTTCTGCCTCATGTATTCTTAAAAATACCAGCTGCTGCTCAGTTGAAAATGTAATTTAATTTGACTGACACATGAATTTTATAGTTCCTAAACATGAATATCTTTTCCTTGTTTGTATTCATAAGACTGTTGGTCCATATGTTAATGTGTTCCTTGATTTAATTTTATTTCTTTATTTTAAAAACCAATAAAAACAACAACAAAACCTTGGAGAAAGCTGTACTTGTTAAGTTTTTGAAAATATGCTTCTTTTTTTTTTTTTTTCCTTTTGGAGTTTATACTTAAGCTCACAGAATTCTTTCCCATTTTAGTAGTTTCCCAAACCTTCTGTTCTAGAAATGTTTTTGTTTTGTTAGCAGACATTTTTCTTTTAATAGTGATACAATTTTATGTTGTAATTATGAAACAATTGCTTTTTTTCTCTTTTTTTTTTTCTTTTAAGATAGTTCTCACAATGTAGTTCCAGCTGTCCTTGAGCTCATTATGTAGCGTAGGCTGGCCTCAAACTGCCAATGATCCTCCTGCCTCAACCTCCCAAGTGATAGGATTACAGATGTGTGCTACCACTCTTGGCCTAACAAGTGCATTTTGGATATGTTAAAGAAATGTTTCTTCTCAGTTGCTTGGTACAGTGTTAAGAATCCATTGACCCAGTTTGTGATGGCACATGCGAGCCCAGCCTGAACAGGTTAGGGACTTAGCAAAACTCAATCTCAAAATAAAAATAAAGAAAGGGCTAGAGATGTATCACAATGTGAAGGTGTTGGATCCAATCCCAATTCTGAAACCAGAAGCAAGCAAAAACAAAACCTAATGGTCAGCTTCAGTTACACACTTTTCATATTGTTGTAAATTCATTCACTTACCTTGATAGATCTTAATCACTTGTGAGTGAGAAAGTATCTTACAAAATCGGTGATTGCTGTGTCTCTTCTTGCTAGAAAAGCTCATAGACAAGTACAAGAGATTTAAGGACCTTCTGAAGTATGTATGATATAACACAGTATGCACAAATACAATATATGATATGTGATCCTGAAGAAAAATGTTTATAAATAAAGATTGAGCTGGGCTCGGTGGCACACTCCTATAATTCCAGCATTTGGGAGGCTAAGGCAGGAGGATCATTGTAAGTTTGAGGCTAGACTAGGCTACATAGTGAGACTTTGTCTCAAAAAGACAAAATATAAGATCCAAAATGTATGATGGATGTTGTGATAATGGAAGGGAAAGAAAGTGCTCTAAAGGATATAACTAAAGGTATGTATGTTTAAGTGTGCAAGATACATAACCATACTACTAAGTTTTTGTTGGTTTATCAAATAGAATAATTTGTACTGTCGATTGTCTACTTTTTATGCTTTGATTTTATAACTTGAACAACTACTTTTAAGATAACAGTATATAGTTTATCAACTAGTGATTTCTTACTGTTATTTTTTTTGAAATTCTGTATTATTTCTACCCTTCTTTGTTTTACTTTGTTTCTCTAAATAAAAAAGACAAAAAAATTAATTAATTAAAATAAAATTAAGATTGATGCACTGTAAGCAATGAGCACTTATTGTGGAACAGGGCACCAGACAGTGTGCACGCTTTATTCATGGAGGTGATGTGGAATTTGAAGGCCTGGTAGGCATTCAGAAGAGAAACCTGTTCTAAGCAGAGACAGTAGTATGAGCAGATACATAAGAGTGAGAGAGCATTTGACCTGTTCAGGTATCCATGAATACGAAGATCTCCATAAGGATAATGACAGTTTCTGATTGCCCTGTGAGTTCTGTATTGTGTCTAACACACAATATCTTGCTTGTAATGCAAGCGCAACAAATACTTCTAGAATTCAACTACAGTTTTAAATTTTCTCTATGTCCTAACATGATACATTCATGTTTTCATACGTTTGCATATATGTCTTTTTACAGTGACAGAAGGTTAAGTTTTGTACTTTCAGTGAAGATTTGCTTAAAAATAATTAGCTTTAAGGTGAAATTTAGAATTTTCTGTTAGCAGGATATAACTATTAATACCAATCTCACGTTGTATTTCCTAAGTTGTGTCTATGAAAAAAGATGCTTCTTGGATGTAAAAAGAAACGTGTCTCTTCAGTTAATTGGTTAACTTTTTGAGAGCAGTTAAAAATGATCTTGCAGCTGGGCATGTGGTGCACACCTGTAATCCCATCACTCAGGAGGCTGAGGCAGGAGAATTGATGTGAGTTTGAAGACAGCCTGGGCTATCTAGTGAATTCAGGGCCAGTCTCACCTACATAGTGAGATTCTGTCTCAAAAAAGCGAAAAAAAATTCACTGAAACATCAGATAGGTTTTTGTTTAAATAAAAGCTAAGTGAAGTCTTATGGCTATGACAATATAATAATATATGTTTATGTGTAATATAGAAGAAATAAGAACTTATAATATTCTTTTTAAAATACATATTTCTTAATGCTTATTAATTTTACAGACTGTTAGATTTCAGTGTGGTGTTTTCGTACATGGCCATATGTTGGTTGTATTCGTCCCCTCATTCTTTTTATATTCTTCTGCCTCCTGCACCTTATTCTCTTCCTCGTATCCAGCTGTATTCTTACAGTGCTAAAGTGACTGTTTTACAGAAACAGAAAAAGTTAAATGGCTATATAGAACCAGAGTAAGTAACTTGAGGCTGGAGGTATTTTTTAATTTCTTCAAAGCTTCGAAAAAGAGTTTTTAAAAAACCTGATGATCAAGCTAAAAATAAATTGTGTTTATTTGACACATTTGTATGTGTTAGGAATGATATTAAGCATTTTAAAGTATTCTTTGCATATGATAAACACATTGATGTCATTCCTATTTTAAATTTAGGAAACAGTTTTAAAAATGAAAACAGTTTGCCTCAGTTTATTTCATTAAGAAATAGCAGGTCTCTCTGTTCACAGGTAGATAGAATTTTAATGTTTGAGCTTGTGTCCCTGTCCTTCATTTGCTTCTGACTTGGCTAAATACCGTGAAAGAAATCAGGACGATATCTAAAGAAATCTTTGATAGTGAATTGTAAACATGTTGTTTGAAGAGCACCCAAGGTTTATGACATAATTGTAGTTATGTACATAATAGTTCTAGCTAAATGCCATATACTTGCTGATACTTACTGAGGCTGAAGGACATTATGAAAACATTGTCTTCTTCATAAATGTTTTCTGATTTTTAGGTTTTAAATGCACAGAGAGCAGGATACAAAGCAGCCATTGTTCACAATGTTGATTCTGAGGACCTCATTAGCATGGGATCCAACGACAGTAAGTACAGGTATCACTTTTCTTCTCTCCTGTTCATCAGATCATTAGAAACTAAAAGTGAACAGATTTTCCTTCTCTTATTACTTGCTTAAACAAGAAAAATTTCTTCTCTACCCGATAATTCCAAATTCTTAATTCTCTTGGGGTGGTTTTATTCAAAAGTCCATATGATTGACTTGTTCTTTTCTGAACACTTAAGGTGTTTTTTTGTTTGTTTTGCTAATGTGTTTTATTTATTCTTCAGAATGTTTTTATTTTATTTTTTGGCCCTAAGGATCAAACTCATGACCTCATGCTTGCCAGGCAGGCACTTATGCCACTGAGCTAAATCCCCAGGCCCAAGAATATTAAATTTTAGAATTCATAGATATACTGAATGGCTACTATGATTTGGTGGACTTTCAAAGCCACATAACTTGTGCTATCATGTATGTTGTTTATTGACATTAAATTGACTTGTCTATAGTTTTTCATTTGAAAGGGCAATATCTTTTCTTACTCTCTACTTTTGTTTTTCTTTTAATGCATACAATGCTATCTCTTGCTACTAAATTTCAGCAATTTATATATCTAAGGTAGTGCTTGGAAGAAAGAGTAACCATAAACCTATGGAATCGTGTGATACACTGAAGTTATTTAGCATCCTAAATAACTTTGTCCCCAATAACAAATGCTTTATATTCCTTGACAAAAAGTCTTCTCAGCCTTGAGGAAATTTTTAAAAAATTGTTTGTCCTTTTTATCCCTGAGATAATGAGGCAAAATTATGTTAAAAATGAAATGAATCTCTTTTTTTTTTTTTTGTATTTTAAGTTACTTTTTAAAATAACTCATTGAATCTTTTTCACTGTAGAATCTATTAAGTGACTAAGATGTTCTGGTATTCAGGAGCAGTTTGATAACTCTTACATGAGAAATATAAGACTTACTAGATCAAGAGAATTTACTTGTCCAGTTAATATTGTTGGTACTCCAAATGTTTCTCTAAGTGTTAAGTGATACATGTAAACATAAAAGGTATACATATTAATATGGTAACATATTGATGCATGTACTATAAAAAGTTTCTGATGTTTAAATCAGATTAACCTTATCTATCTCATGAAACATTTATGATCTCCTTGTGGTGAAAAACTTTTCAAAATCTTTTTCAGATTTTTGAAATGTACCATAGAGTACATTATTATCAATTATAGTCACTGCACCGCAGTCGCACACCAAAACTTCTTGCTGTGCTAAGTATAAATTAGTACATGTTAATCAACCTTTCCCAATTTTGTCCTCCTCTGCCACCCTCCACAGCCTCTGCTAATAACCACTCTATGCCCAATTTCTATGAGATTTGTCTTTCTGTGCCTGAGTAATTTCACTTAGCATAATGATCTCCAGTTCACCCATGTTGTTAGAAATTGATAGGACTTGATTTTATTTTTATATGGCTGACTAGTATTCCACTGTATCTAGGCATTACATTTTCTTCATCCATTCATAAGTTAATGAATGGGAAGTAGGTTGTTTCAATTCTTGGCTATTGTAAATAGTGCTGTAATCAACATGAAAGGGCCAATGATTCTTCAGTATGCAGATTTTATTCTTTTGGCAATAACCCAGTAAGGCGACTGCTAATTCTATTTTAATTTTTTGAGAAACCTCCATACTATTTTCCATTATGGCTATACTAATTTATATTTCCATTAACAGTGTGCACTGGTTCCCTTTTTTCCCTGTCTTCTCTGGTACTTGTCTTCTTGTCTTTTTGCTAATAGCCATTCTGACTAAAGTGAGTTAGTACCTCACTGAGATTTTGATACATGTTTCCTCAGTGATACTGTACATAGTGTCATATACCTGTTGGCCATTTGTATGTGTTTGTGAGGAATGTCTATTTGGGTTTATTGTGTATTTTTAATCAGTTTTGTTTGTTTGTTCTGTTGTTGCTTCTTACATATTGTCAATATCAATACTGTGCATGTCAAAGGCATTGATATCCAGAAGAGATTGATATTCAGAGTCTGTTGACATCACGTATCTGTTTACTTTGTTGATTGTTCCTTTTGGTATACAGGAGGTAGGGCAAATTTGACATATTTTTCAATATTACCTTTAAAAATAATACCTTTAAAAAATTATCTCAGCTTAAGCATCAGAACTTGCAGTGAGTATCTGATTGTGTGGCTCATAATCTTCAGAATTGGGTCATTGAAGGAGTTTGGAAATTTTGGAGATGCCTGCTGGAGAAGCAGCCCCAGAATGCTATAAACTGAGTTTAATGAGACACTTTTGTAGCTTAGAAGGCCTGAATTCTGACAGTAATGCAGCTGTTAAAGAGTAGTAATAAGGACCTGTTGGCATTTGATCTAGATCCTCGTATGTTATGCTGAGGTGGAAAATTTGCCAGCATTTTGCTTGTGTCCTGAGACTTTGTGGTAGGATGAGACTAATGATGGTAGGCTAATTAATCTGGCAGAAAAAATTTCAAGGCATGGGTACTTTTGGGGGTTTTAGACAGCTCTGTGTTGAGAATCAAGAGAAAATGGCACAGATGAATGATTTAGAAGTTCAGAATTTGGCTAGAAAGTTGAGTAAAAACAGGGCATGCAAAATTGGAGTAGAAGAGAGCCAAACTGCTGAAAACAGTAGCATTAAAAAGAATCTAAGTACTTTGGAGTGGGACATAGGAAAAAATGACTTAAAAGCATGAGCATGTGAGGAATCAGCAAGACCCCCACTGATCACAGGGAAGTTCAAGAGTCCGGAAAGTGGAAGACTTAGCTTTGAGAAGAGAGAGCCTCAGGGCACTGTGCTCGAGAAAGGCCACCTAAGAAATTACCTTCTTGGGATTCTGTTCACAGTGCTCAGCCATCCAAGCACTCAGAGGTCCCTGCAGCCATGATACAAGAAGGCCTGTCTGCTGTGGCAGCTAACAGCAGACCTTGTTGCCATCCATGCAGTGGTGATTTTACAGGCTACAGAATGCAACAGCTGTGTGATTATGGAGGCTTCCACCTAGAGTTCAGAAGAAGACCTGTGGGGCCAGGCAGTGTGCCCTTGGAGAGGGCAGTGTATGAAGCTGTGTGAGTGAAGCTGAAACTACAGTGGAGACCCAGGAAGTTGTGGAAGCCAGGAACATGAAACATCTGAGGGAAGTCACAGGGAGTAAGCAAAGCCAGCCTAAGAGAGAGGTGGTGAGGGCTACAACCAGCAGCCGTGCAATAGCAGTGTGAAGCTCCCTTTGGAATTTGTATCTCACCACAACTTGCCTTGGGCTAGTTATGGAACTAAAAGATTTAATGTTTGCCCTGCCAGGTTTTGGTCTTATTTGATCTGATTTTTTTCTCTCCTAGTTGTCTCCCTTTTGAATGTGCATGTATATTCTGCACTATTGTGTATTGAAAGTGTTTAACTTTCTTTTGATTTTTAGCCCACAGCTAAGAGTTTGCCTTTGTGTCTCAGAGGAGACTTTGGACTTCAATTTTTCACCAGTATTTACACTACTAAAACTGTGGCAACTCTTAGAGATACACTAAAATACATTTTGCATAAAGGGATGTGCATGAATCTTTTTGGAACCAGGGGTGAAATGTTATAGTTTATATCTGGATGTCTTCCAAGAGCTTCTTGTGCTATTAGGCAGAGCATTTAAAAGGAGATGGATTGTAGGAGCATTATAGGTGATTGCTCTTGGGAGATGGGGCCTGGCTGGTTGAAGCAGGTCACTGTGGGTGTGACCCAAATAGTTACATTTTTCTTCCTCTCTCCTCTCTTGACTGTGCTTCCTCATGAGCTCTCTGCTCCTCATGCCATCATCCTGGCCTGAGCAGGCTGACCAGGAATTATAAATGTGAACCAAAATAAACTTCTCCTTCCTTAAGTACAGGTGTCAGATTTTGTGTTTCAGAGACAAGAAAAGTGACTGTGGCAACATGCTGGGTCAATACTTTTGTGATCTCTGTATACTACTCCTAAATGGAAAGTACACATACCCTGGCCTGAATTGTAATTCAATTTCCACTTAAATTAACTGTGTTAAGTTTAAGTAAGTTACTTATTCTTTATGTGTTTTGCTAAAGGTCTTCCAAGATTTAGTAAACACTCAACATATTCTTAAGGGCTACGTATGTGTTGGATTGAGCAAACTGATTATTATTTATGTACTGTTCATTATTTGGACATGTTTTCAGTAAAATTTTTTTTAAGCTGAATTGGCAGTTCCCTTCAGCACTTGCTGTGTGGTACCAGAAAAACTTTTTGTGATAATCACGTCAACTCCTAAGGAGAATGTACTAAATATTAAAAGTAGCACATACCTTATAATTGTGCTGTTGCCATGGAAATGTTCCAGCTAAACTGTTACGTTTTTAAAAAATTGCTGAGAATTTTGGCTCTTGACTTTTAGTTCCTTGATCACTTTCTGTGATGTTTTGCTGTACCTTTCAATATGTTTATATTTAAGTATTTCATATACCCAAAGACAAGTGTTGTAAAGGTTTTTACCATTTTAATCTCTGCTGATACTTAGTAGGGGAAAAGAGCACATAAATTTATTAGAAGGAAGTTTATCTATTCCTGTCTTCAGTTCTTAGTCCCTCTTTACAAGAGAATGATGGTGAATCTTTTAGAGACTGAGTGCCAAACTGTAACCCACAATCCACTTATGTTTGTCACAAAGTGCCAACACTCCAATTAAACTGAATACCAATTAAACCTCATACGTTAATATTTTTGTTTTAAAAAAAAAAAAAAAAAAACCACAATAACACACATCCCATAGGTTTGCCACCACCACTACAATGAATATCTGTTTTCCTGAGTGGGGATTCTATGTTTAGAAACAAAAGTTTTTTAAACCCCTTTACTGCCAACAGTTCATACAATACATATGTCCATTTTTATTTCAGCTGGTGTGCAGAATAGATTGTTTTAGTGAGCCAGTAACATCATAAGGAGGCAAGAGAATGTTGTAGGTAAAACACGAATTTCAGAACCAGGAAATGTAGTTT